GGCCACAATGCCAGCCCGTTTAGATGTTAGTAGTTCCGGACTTTGGTCCGATGCCGAGGATAGCCCGATGCAGATTATATGTTTCCGGACTTCGGTCCGATGCCGGGGTGGTCCCGAGAAGTAGTATGTATGCTTGATGCCTTTGTGATTCATGCATGTTTATGTTATGTGCATGGTGTTCCGGACTTCGGTCCGATGCAGTATCTATATGTTTATGTTACATGTTTATGTATAAGATATGTTCAGTTATTCCGGACTGCGGTCCGATGCAGTGGGCAAGGCCCAAGTTATTCCGGGCTGCGGTCCAATGTAGTGGGCAAGGCCCAAGTTATTCCAGGCTGCGGTCCGATGCAGTGGGCAAGGCCCAAGTTATTCCGGGCTGCGGTCCAATGCAGTGGGCAAGGCCCAGTATGTGTTTATGTGTTATCGTATGGTATGTGGTAGTTTGGGGGAGCTCACTAAGCTTCGTGCCTACGGTTTTCAGTTTTGGTTTCAGGTACTTCCACTAGCAAAAGGAAGGGCTCGGGATGATCGCATGGCACACACCACAGTCTTCAGCCTGGGAGCTTCACTCTGATATTCGTTATGAGGTTTATATATGAGACAGATTTTATGATGTGTTATGATACATGACTTACGATTTTACTTATGATACTGGATGGTTTATGATTTTATTATGATTGAAAAACGAAATTTTTGGGTCGTATTTTTGGGTTGTTTCATTTTTTCTATTATAGCATTCTAGTTTAACCAATTAACTTATTAGATGATACACAATATTATGTTGTTTTTTTTTTTGAGTGATACTCAAATATTATATTTGGATGCAATCTAAGGCTTATCTAATTAATTCATCAAACAAATCATGAAATAAATACATTAATTGTAAACAAAATACAAAGGCATATACGAAATTCTCTAAATTAGATAAGCCCTAAATCTTGTAACGCTTTTTAATCCCTAGTCACTCGCTACATTTTTTATATAAATATTTATTTTTCAAAAAGAAAAAAAGATAAGCGCAAAATCTAATTTAGGTCTTATCAAATCATACAATGTAAGCCTTATCTAATTAATTCCATAACTAAAGGTAGTCAAACAATCTAATTAACTCAATACATTCTTATTAATTCCTTAACAATTAACTTACAACAAAAAAATAAAATAAAGGTTATAACTCATTAAAATGCATAGACGTATCATAACATCATTAACTCCTTAACAATTAAGTACTTAAAAGTTAATTCCTAAACATATTTTGCAATAATTAACTCATTACAATGCCTAGAAAAAGGAGATTATAAGAAGAAAGACACATGGTCGTTTGAGAATAAGAAGAGAGTCATCAAAGGTATTGTAACGCTTAGATCCCTGGTACGTACTTAATATTTATTTGACCATTTTCACAAGGCTACTCGACGAGTTGGTAGCCCCAAACGTGTCGAGTAGAGATAGAGAGGGACGCGGGGTTTGAAGTCTACTCGACGAGTTGGGAAGCCCCGACTCGACGAGTAGGACTGCCAGAATGAAACCCTAATTTTAAGGGTTTGGCCCCCTATTTAAAGAACATAACACCCCCTTGTGGCCTCTCTCATCATTTCCCATTGTCCAAAAAACCTTAATCAGTGAGCTTGATCTTTGTGTGAGTGTGTGGACCATTTTTGAGTGATTTGGTGTGATTTGAAGCTTGTGAGAAGAAGAAGAAGCTAGAGGACTTCAAGAGAAGGTTGTAGATCCAGGAGCAACATCACTTTTCCTTCACTTTCTGGTAATCAAGTTTCTATATTGACCTCTAGTTCATTAGATCTCTTCCTTCCCTTTTTATGAAGGTTTTGGCCCAAGAATGATAACCTTTGGAGAATGGACGACCCAAGTGGATAATCTTCCAGATCTAGGACCTAGAGGGGTTGTTATGACATAAAGGTGCAAACTTTATGCCATTGGAGCCCCCATGCAAGCTATAGAGTATCATATTGGCCTTCTTAGCCCAAAAGGCCATGCATGTGGGGAAAGGTGGGAACTTTACGTGCCCAAGTAGTGTTAAGGGTATAGATCTGAGGTTGTAAGCTTTAGTTTGGTGTATGGAGGGCTTAAGGACCAAGTTCTAGGTCCCAAGGAATTAGAGTTTGAGCTAAACCCTTTAAGAAGTGGTATTAAGGGGTAAAGTCAGAAACTTTACCCTTAAAAGGACATTTTCAGGGTTTATGTGAGGTATGAAGCTTGGATCTGAAGTGTAGGGGCTTAATCCATTAAGATAGCCCTAACAGACAGGAGAACTCGGCGAGTCCAGTAAGGGACTCGACTAGTTGAAGTCGGGTTGTCCCGATAGTATGCCAGGTAGAACTCGACGAGTCTGTGAAGGGACTCAACGAGTTGACTCGATTGACCACGAGTCTGAGTAGTACAGGAACTCGCCGATTTAGGAGGTAACTCAACGAGTTGGGTTGACTGGGAGTTGACCTTGACTTTAACTTTGACCAGGACGTTGACTTTGACTAGGGGTAAAATGGTCATTTTACCCTAAGGAGAGTTAGCAGATTTTTGATTAAGTGTTATTGTGAAATTGATAACCGGGGAGTCGTTGGAGCAGCCGTCAGAGATTCCTCACACGAGATTTCACAGCTAGCATTCGAGGTGAGTTTTCTCCAGTAGGAACGGGTCTAAGGCACCAAGGCCGACTCGTTTAGTTAGTAGTAGTTCCGGACTACGGTCCGATGTCGAGCGGGGCCCGATGTAGGTTTATATGTTTTCCGAATTTCGATCCGATGTCGGGGCAGTCCCGAGGAATGTTTGTATGCTTGATGCCTTTTGTGATTCTTGCATGTGTTTGTATTGTATGTTTCCCGACTTCGGTTCGATGTCGGGGCGGTCCCGAGGAATGTTAGTATGTTACCGGATTACAGTCCGATGTCGGGCGGGGCCCGAGGATGTTTAAGCATTAATGTTATGTGCTTAGGTTTATGTGTATTACTGATTATGCTCTTATGTATTCTGATATTTGCTCAATGCTGGGCGAGGCTCGATGTCGGGCAGGGCCCGATGCCGAATAGGGCTCGATGCCGGGCAGTTCCCGATGTCGGGAAAGCCGACGTCGAGCTTGACTCGATGTAGCAGGGGCGGGGCCCAAGATATGTTTATGTGTTATGTGTATGGTATGTGGTAGTTGGGGAGACTCACTAAACTTCGTGCTTACAGTTTTCAGTTTTGGTTTCAGGTACTTCCGGTAGCAAGGGGAAGAGCTCGGGATGATTGCATGGCACACACGATTGTTTTTAGCCTGGGAGGATTCACTCTGATTTATGATATGTGATTTTGATACATTGACAGATTTGATGATGTTTTGAGATACATGACTTGTGGTTTTATTATGATATGGATGGATTATGGTTTTTCATAAATGATTTAAAAAGAAATTTTTTGTCTATATTTTTGGGATGTTTCAGGTTATTTTCGGAAAAAGAAGTAGTCAACGATGGTATTTTCTGACAGAAAAATGAGATCAGAAGGGGACAACACCGGAGGTGTTGGTTGGTAGCAGTAATAGTAGATGCATGTTCGTCACCGTCGACGGATGGAAACTTCATCGTCGCCGACAGCAAAGCACATCAAGGGAATCACGTGTAATCAGAAAACAGATGAATGGAGGGGTTTATCTCACTAAGCTTTAGTGGAGACTAACGAATAAGTTGGAGGGAAAGTTTCTCAGACGTTATTTTGGTAAGTATTAGTGGCGACCTGGTGTCACCATTGTTACGTTCGATCAGAACGTGTCTTGCCGTTGGATCGCTTTATATCATTGACATCTACGATCAACAACCGAAGAATCACACGGATATTAGAATAGACCATCAGCGGCGACATCAAGCATGTATGGCTATATATCAAGGTTCTAAAAAGCTCGTCATGGCTCCAAGGTTTGTACCTGCCGTCAAGTTTTACCAAAATCCCGTCTTAACTCATATATGTATATAAAAATGAATAATAGTTGAAAATACATATAAAAATATTAATTATATACAAAATTGTCGCCTTAAGTCATGCCTTACAAACGACGTGGCTCGCCAAGTCTTGGAAAATCTTGAGGCTTGACATTGTCACCAAGTCACGCCTTACGTTATTTAGAACTTTGCTATATATCGACGCTAATGGTCTCATTTCTTGTAATGAGTGTTAAAAACTAATTAAAACTCGTGGCTTTTACCAATTATTGCTCCATTTCCCTCTAATCCTATTCAAAGTTGTTGCTAATAAATAGTTGTTGTATATTTTGCTTGCTTGTATATTCTGATTCGCGTATTAAATGTAAGCCTACCAATTAACGCATCCTTTTACTTTTGTTTTAATATGAATTAATAGAGTGCTTTCATGGCTGAAACTTGGTTCGAGCATTTTCTTTAATTTAGTCAAAGAAGTGGTGGTTTTATCTCACCTATGGGATGTTTGGAAGTATAGGGATACGGTTCCTCTAACGAGGTGTAATACATCATTTAAAAGTTCTTGTAAAACCCTAATCAAAACTCAAGAAATGGAACATCATATATTATAAGCCAATATTCGCACAATCACATACATCTAAAGGCTAACGTTTTCTCTTTTTAAATACTATAGCGAAAAGAATAAAAATTAAACAAGTTTAAAAAAATTACAAAAATCTAGTAATTTCGTTGTAACGAAATCCTGAGGGAAAATCACCATCATCAAACGACCATCGAGAATGTGATTAGTATCTCGTGGAATAATCACAATCTTGAGATAAAATACGTGGATTCTTGGCCAAATTATTAACCTTGAAATGACACAACATTGATATTGTCTTGCTCTTCATCTGCAACGTCCCCACCTTCATTTTCACCGGAACCCTAAACTCTAGTAATATTTCGACATGTCTTTGAGATTTTCCGGTCGTCCCATTCATGCTTTTTCGAATCCCCATAGGTAACTTACTATTGGATGAACTCGTAAGGGTTAACTTCATGTCCTTCGAGTTTTTTGGGCTTTGTTCAGCTGATGGAAACTTTCCAATGGCGAATCTTCTCTTTAAAAGACAAAGCAGCTTTTCCATGATCATCAAATGATATGATCGTGTGAGCATTAGGGTTTCTTGATGCCAACGTGATGTCGAAATCAGTTTTCTTTTGTCGGGTTTTTTCTTTTGTGTTAACACGTACACGTTCTACGTGAAATCTAGGGTCATCTTTCTTGATCACGATTAACATAATCCCACCTATGAATCCCAGAAGGAGAACTATAATAGCGATGGAAATCAACACATATTTAATACAATTAGATTGTTTCTTAGCAGGAGAATTACGATAACGTTCCACGATCAAAGCGTTTTCCGGTGGTGGGGTTCTGTAAATTCGATCTTTATGGACTTGGACGACGTAAGTCCCCGTAGGGGTGTCTTGGAAGTTGTTGGTGTCGGGAATGCTATGGTATTTGTGGGTGGAATTAGGGGGGTAGTCACCGGAAACATGGGAACTGGAGGGAGGCCCCCTCTCCTCCATGGAAGGACCGAAAGTGATGGTGGATGGTGGTGGTTTTGGCAATAATGGTGGAAGAGGGTGGTGGTTTGCATACAGGGGAAAGGGGAGGTTTTCGCAATTAACAATTTGGTAGGTTGAGCATATAGAGTGGGATTGATCTTGGTGTGTAATAATTTTTAGCCTGTTATAAAATATTAATTTGCTTGGTTAATCTAAAATTCAAGTAAGCGTAAAGGAAATTCTTAAATTATAAAACGAATACGATCGGAATTAAATACTAATGCATAGGTTATTTCGAATATAAATTTATGAATTTTATATACAAATCAAGTCAACTAGTTTGAATTCATATCCAAACTAAATACTAAAACCAGATTTTAAAATATAAAAATTGGATACCCAGTTTAATCATATTAAGACTCAGATAATCCATATTTTAGAATATCTGAATCCGGATAATTCATAACAACAATCTTATTTTTAAATTAATATTATTATATTTTATATATAACTCCAACTAAATATATAGTTGTGTTATATTTGGTCCTAAAAGACAATAAAAATAATGTTATAAAATATATATAAGCCTAGAAATTAAAAATACTAATAACTTTTGTCTTGAAATTCGTCGTCTTAATGAGATCAAATTTTATTCTAATCCGAAAACTATAGAATGAAATCTTTTTCAATATTACCCCAATTTATTTTAATGAAGGAGGTGTATAAATTGTAATGAAGGAGGTGTATCTCCTATGTAAGCTCTTCTTTGTGGATGTAAGCTCTTCGTCGTGGATGTACTCCTAAGTGAGTAGTAAGAGTGATGTTTCAATTGGAATGCGATTTTGTATCTTTTCCACATCTGTTAGATAGTCCTTCAAACAAACACATACTTCCATCGATTCGACTTTGAGTTTTAAGTTTCAACCTTTGTCCGATATTACCCTGCTACTAAGGGAAAATGCAGATTCAAAAGATAACGTAAAAGCTTAGACGATTTGTATATCATTAGCCATGACGTATAGAATCAGAAATTACAGTTCTTTTTTATTTAAACCAAACAAAAAAAATCAAGGTTAAATTCTTCTACACTAAAATGGGCTAAAATTTTGATGACATATAATTTTTAATCCGCTACTTGGGCTGCAATTCGTCGGCATTTACTTACAACTTCAATTAAAGTAATATAAAGTTTGTAATATGCATCACAATCCATTTTAGATGATTCCCCATCGTGCCCCTCCTCACAATATTAGCTACTAGATTACTTGGTTGATCATATTTTGTTTTATAATGTTGACATAACTTTTAGAAAGTTTCATTGGAATTTAATATTTGATTTGCGACAAATCTTGGTTTAGCCTGTGCTATATCTGAATTTTTGAAATTTTTTATGATTCTTACGTCGTCAGCTAGTAGTACTTAAGGTGCGGCAAAAAGAAAAACCATAAGTATCTTCCGAAAATATTTTAAAATATTTAGTTCCATATCGATGACCATGCCAAAAAGAACATGGTAGCATTTGACATCGACTTATTGGATTATAACTAGGTTGAAGATTCATTCGAAGTATATAAGTAAGTTGCGGGTTGTCAACGATGGAGCTTCTAGGATGACAAATTTTGAAAAATTTATCCCTACATTATCATTCTCATAAATAAGAATATATATATATATATATATATATATATATATAGAGAGAGAGAGAGAGAGAGAGAGAGAGAGAGAGAGAGAGAGAGAGAGAGAGAGAGAGAGAGAGAGAGAGAGGAAGGATCATTTGAGAACTCAAAGTTTCCTGAATCCAAAAACTAAACAATGATCGTTAGATTAAAATAATAGAGGGTTAGGATGCTTTGTGGTATATTTGTAAATATGTGAAAATAAAAATGGATGTGGGCATCTTATTAAAAAGAATCAGGGGTATTTTTGGGACAGTGTAATTGATTCCCCCTTTTTAGATTTAATCACGTTAACTTTGCCCCTATCTCTCTCTCTCTCTCTCTCTCTCTCTCTCTCTCTCTCTCTCTCTCTCTCTCTCTCTCTCTCTCTCTCTCTCTCTCTTCATCCTGCCTCTCTCTCTCTCTCTCTACACCTACATCACGTCTTCATCGTTGATTGTTGGATGAAGCCACCGTTTGAAATCCATGGCCGCCTCCGATAATCGTCACCCCCATCAATTGATCGGCTTCCTCATCGTCTCCCCCCTCTCTTTCTCCCTCACAAACACAAACACACACACACACACACACACACACATCTTTATGCCTTCCCTAAAAACAACATCACCACCATCGTCTCCTCCTAAACCTACACCATATTCGCCTCCATTAAAACCTACACTGTAATCACCTCCCGGAATAGATCTTATTGCGTTTGTATCTGGTTATCGATGAAGTCTGAGTAGGAGTTAAATGTCTTCACTCATCGTCTTCATATTGATGAATCCAGGTTTGCAGACTTCTCTATAAAAAACGAAACGAAATTCGCATCTCCACTGTATTTCGGACGATCGATCGAGTATTTGATTAGAGAAGCTTCCACTGCCAAATCGGTCTTTGATTAGAGAAGACGATCTTATGCCGATGAAGTATTTGATTATACAAGCATCTATTGCCAAATCGACCTAACCGGATCTATACCACATATAACCACCAATAAATCGAAATGAAAACTCCGACAATCAAGTGCCTACAACTACAATCAGGTAAATCATTAATCTCATTTTCTGAATGTTTATTTCAGTATTTATGTTCTTCTCGTAAGTTAAAGGTTTCTTTGAGTGACCAGATAAGGTTTTATTACAGATAAGGTTTTATTACAGATAAGGTTGTTCAACAATCATTGTTAGGATCCACCTTATCAAACATGCTGTTAGTTATTGGTTGTGCTTTTTTTACTGGTGGCATTGTGCATTATCCAACAGTTCAACGTTTCAACCAGGCAATTCACCATTTTGGAATCTGATTCCATTCCTTTGTATGGTGGAATTTAGATCTCTGGAATCACTCATTTAGTCATTTGTATGGTCGTATATATGAATGCACTTAGCAGTTCTTATGGTAACCTGAAGACTTGAAGCTTTTAGATCGTGTGTTTCAGCTTATACGAGAACATAACAAAGATGAAAGTTAAATGTAGATTATAAGTTCCAAAGTTAACATTGTAGTGAAGGCATCAGATTATTTTGAATGTTTAGATTTTGATGTATGCTTTTGTTCTTTTCTTTGGCCCTGATTACAAATGTATATTTTTCAATTTATTACACGATACATAAGCAAATGATTATGTTTAGATTTTGAGTGACCAGCATTTTCCCCCGCCAAGAATATGTCAAGAATACTGTAAACTGAAATACTAAAAATGCCCTTTTGGTCATTTTAACTCACATTACAGTAAATCAGGAACATGATATGCAAAAAAATTCAAACTCAATTACAATCTCATTAAATCAAGAACATAATCTGTTGATTTTTGTCTCTGTTGACCAGTCAAAGTTATAATGATGATTATATTGAAAACTGTAGTCGTGCAATGGGAGATGGTAATTCTGCAGTTGGATATTTTGATGAGAGTGTGAATTTCCTTTCGAAAGTGGGAACAGATGATCTAGAGGTACAAACAATTCTTGAATCTTTTTTTTAATGAAGGTAAAATTACGTTTATAACCTTAGTTGAATATATATATGTAATGCAGGTTGCACATACACTTTCGGTTTCTTTGAATAAAATTGGGGATCTGAAATATTATGAAGGTGATTTGAAAGCTGCAAGGGATCATTACTTTCGGGCTCTTGATGTTCGTAGAAATGCTATAAAAGATTCTTCAAAAGCTCCATCACATGGTTTTTTTTTATACATTGGATATGAAAATATACAAATTTATATAATATTTGATATGTGTGATTTGATCTTATGATTCCATTCCGTTTGTTGATTCCGATTCCAGATTCTAGATGTGGATGTGTCCCTTGCGAAAGTCGCTGATGTGGATAGAAATCTTGATGCTGGGGATACAACAATTGAAGGGTTTCAAGAAGCCATAAATTTGCTGGAATCTTTGAATATAAAGTCTGAAGAAACTGCACTGGAACAACGGGTAAGATGTTTCTTTTTAATTTAATGGACAATATTTTAAATTATATGAAAGATTTACAGGGTTACCAGGTAAGATTTTTAAAATTTTAAATTATATGATATTTCGTACTTTTCCTTTTCCTTTTCCTTTTTTATTATTAATTATACTTTGCAACTGCAGCACCTAAGGAGTTATTTAGTGAGATTATGGTAAAGTATTGATTGTTGCGGGCCATTCACTTTGGTATGTACCTCCTTGTATTACACATTAAGGGTAATGTTTGCACATTATCTATCTCAATATATACATATTTCAAAATTTTCTCACTTGCAAACATATATCTTTTTCCTTTTTTTTTATTGTAACAGGTTCTTCCTATCATGATTGATGTTGGAACCAACAATGACAACCTTCTAGAAAATCCCTTGTGTAACTTTTTTTCTTCTCTTTTTGATTTTTTTCGAACCTTATTAAGTAAATCACATGTTATTCACATATGAATCACATGTAAATCATATATGAATTATATGTGATTCACATGTTATTCACATGTAAATCACATGTTATTCACATATGAATTACATGTGATTCACATGTAAATCACATGTTATTCACATATGAATCAGATGTAATTCATATATGAATTAGATGTGATTCACAACATGTAAATCACATATAAATTACATGTGATTCACATATAAATTACATATGTATTTTTATGAGTGTTTTTGCATCAACCGATTTTTTTTTATTTTTCTTGTAGATTTGAAAGAAAATGTGGTGAATATTGAAGAGGTGAAAAATGATAAATTAAAGAAAATATGGAAATATTGACACGAATACATGAAAACGCTTTGAAATTTGTAGCATTTTTTATTTTTTATATTTTATTTTGTATCGAATAAAATAATTGTACTATTATGTTTATAGATTAATTAATAAATATGAGATTTGTTGTGATTTACTTACGAATATTATAGTATAAGAAATGTACATATGTGCATTTGAAAAAATATGCACATATGCACCTAAAAATTTACTTCTTAAAAAAATGCAGTTTTTTTAAAACAAATTGCAGTTTTTTTTTAAATACAGTTTTTTCTGAAAAAAATGTAACTTTCTTTAAAAAAAACTTACAGTTTTTTTGAAAAAATTACAGTTTTTTTATTTAAAAATGCAGTTTTTTTAAAAAAAATTGGAGTTTTTTTTTTGAAAAAAATGCAGTTTTTTTGAAAAAATTGCAGCTTTTTTTTAAAAAAAAAATTTCAATTTTTTTTCAGAAATTCATGTTTTCTAAAAAAAATTAAAAATCTGCATTTAAAAAAAACGAAAAATACTATTTTTAAAAAAATATGCAAATTTGATTTATGATGTAAATTTTTAGACATTTATATTAATATGTTAAATAACACAAAAAAATTAAACATTAAATGAGATTGGTAAGATGACGATCACGTCCTTAATGAATTACTTTTGATCCAACGCTCCACTTTTAGTTTTCAGGTTCTCGGGAAACTATGAGTTCTCAACCAATCTCAACCCTATATATATATATATATATATATATATATATATAAAAGGTGAGGTTCAATAGAGAACCATAATTAACCAAGGAACCAATCTTTTTTTCAACTTTTAGAACTTATTTTTTATCAAAAAAAAAACTAAAAATACAGAAATTCATAACTTTTTATCCTTTTTCCAATGATATCAAATTCGATTTTTTTTACGTCAAATTCACAATGTGAATCTTTGAAAATTCACACTGTGAATCCGGATTCACACGGTGAATACGACAAATATTTTTCACATTCACAATGTTAATATATGAATTTAGATATTTTTAGATTTTTTTTTCGATAAAGAATAAACTTTAGAAATTGAAAAAAAAAATTTGGTTCCTTGAATAACCTATAATTATGGTTCTCTATTGAACTTTTCCCTAAATATATATATATATATATATATATATATATATATATATATATATATATATATATATATATATATACACACACACAGAGAGAGAGAGAGAGAGAAAAAAAAAGTTTAATAGATAACCATAATTATTGGTTCTCCAAGGAACCAAATCTTTTTTTTAAGTTCTAGAGCTTATTCTTTATCGAAAAAAAAACTAAAAATATCTAAATTCATAACTTAACATTGTGAATGTTAAATATATTTTTCGGATTCACCGTGTGAATTTAGATTCACATTGTGAATTTGACGAAAAAAAAAATTTATCGAATTTGATATCATTGGAAAAATGATAAAAAGTTATGAATTTCTGTATTTTTAGTTTTTTTTTTGATAAAAAATAAGTTCTAAAAGTTGAAAAAAAGATTGGTTTCTTGGTTCATTGGTCAATTATGGTTCTCTATTGAACCTCACCTTATATATATATATATATATATATATATATATATATATATATATATATATATATATATATATATATATATATATATATATATGGAAAAGTTCAATAGAGAACCATAATTTTTGGTTCTTCAAGGAACCAAATCTTTTTTTCAAATTTTAGAGCTTATTCTTTATCGAAAAAAAAATCTAAAAATATGTAAATTCATATATTAACATTGTGAATGTGAAAAATATTTTTCGGATTCACCGTGTGAATCCGGATTCACGTTGTGAATTTTCAAAGATTCACATTGTGAATTTGACGTAAAAAAATCGAATTTGATATCATTGGAAAAAAGTTATGAATTTCAGTATTTTTAGTTTTTTTTTTTTTTTAATAAAAAATAAGTTGTAAAAGTTGAAAAAAAAAATTGGTTTCTTGGTTAATTATGGTTCTCTATTGAACCTCACCTTATATATATATATATATATATATATATATATATATATATATATATATATATATGTAGTGGTTCAAATGAGAATCCAAAAAGGTTAACAAACCCTAAGAACTATTTTTAAAATGTTTTCATTAAATGTATTTTGGACAAATCAAACATTAATATTATTTTAAGCAAACTTTTCCATTCCCTAGTTTACAAAAGTTGTCACTTGTCGTCAGACCACCGTCGGACCGCCGTCGGACCACCGCCAGACCAACGTCGGACGGCCGCTGGAGTAACACCAAATTTAGTTGTATTTTTCTGGCCGTATTCACAACTTAATAGAACAAACATTTTGGCTCCTATTTCTTTGGTAATATTTTTTAACACATACAATTTCATTTTTGCAGCCAAATATATAAAATTTAATAAAAAAAATTATGCCTTGACAGATTTAATTTTCTCTCTTCAAAATATCATATTCACAATTTAATAAACATATTATATCACTAATTCACAGTCTTTTATTTTCATGCATACATTCATTCATACTTTAAAACAAAATTTATATAAAATATACATTTTAATACAGTCAATTATCAGTTTAATACATAAAATTCATAAATTAATACAATTCATTATGCACGAATATATATATTCAGATAAGTCAAATGAAAACTTTGACACCACCAACTACCACATGCCACCAGCAACCAACCGTGCCACCGTCGCATCCATTATTCCTTCTAAATCAGATCTGTATATAAAATCATATATATAAAATCATAGATTCACAGCTTAAATATTATATTCACAGTTTAATAAACCGTATAATTCACTAATTTTGAGTTTAATGCAAAATAATTATAAAAACTAATACATTTTTACAAATTTATACAACACAAAAAATAAATATATTCATAAGAAAATCAATATAAACATACTTACATAAAACATTCATATTTTAACACAAAATTCATTAAAAATTCACAGCTTAAAACAGTCAATTCATAATTTAGTACACAAAATTCACAACTTAATATAATACTTTTATTGTTTAATATACAAAAATTATACATTCACAACCATATCCTTAACTTAAATTATATTTATACTTTAAGATTTATAGGCGAGTGCTTCTTTCAAAGTTATTTACATAAATATTCACATTTTATATTTTACATATTTTATTCAAAATTAGATAAAATCATATTTATGTATAATGTCTTTTGTCTCATATTTTAGAAGCAATATATATATATATATATATATATATATATATATATATATATATATTATATATATATATATATATATATATTAAAACCTTAAATTCACAACTTACACAAAAGCAAAAAAAAAAAATACAAAAATCGACATACCTGATGCATAGATATGTTGGTGTTTCACCGGAGATCAGATAGAAAGAGATGGAGACGAGTTAGTAGTGTTTCAATAAAGCAACAAGGCAACAACGACGGTGGAGATTGACGGAGATTTTCGATCTGGTCACTCAATGTCACTGAAACTCGTATATCTGAAGGTGTAAATAGTAGATCTAGCTAGAGGCGAAAATCATAGATCTGCCACCGGAGATCGTAGATCTATCACAAAAGAAGATAGACCTGGACCTAAACACTTCAGATCTAAAAGCCTCGTCGTCAGTAAAGTTGATGTGGTCGATGATGCTCGTCAGATGAAGATGAAGACAGTAAGGAGCGGAGGAGCACGATGCAGATCTAACCTGAAACACATCAAGTTTACATTAGGTCCGGAGATGTTTCGTCGTGTGCCACCGGCAGAGGCGACGGACGTGTAACAGATCTGATGCGCCGGAGTTTGAAGGAAACTCATCAGAGGTTTGTGGTGGTGATAGTTGACCAGATCTGAACAGATCTGGCGGTTTTCATACAGATCAGAGATAAATAACTAGAGCTGAACAACCATAAATGAATGGAGAGGGGAGAGACGTTGACGGGGAAGGAAGAGGTGGTGGTCGGGCTGATAACCAACGGTGGCCGATGGTGGTTGACGGTGGTGGTATCGAAGGTGAGAAGTACAAAAGAAAGAAAGTGGCTGTAGAACTTTATGTTTTGTGTTGGTGAGAAATGAGAAACAGATCTGATTAGTTAAAATTAGTGGTTCTTAGGGTTTTTAACTTTTAGTAGTTCTCATTTGAACCTTTATATATATATATATATATATATATATATATATATATATATATATATATATATATATATATATATATATATTAGTTTGAAAAAGATCGAATATACCTTGTTTCACCGCTTTGCAAAAACTATAAGTATAATTTTCAATGTCGAGTTTCCATTATGGTTGTAAAACTTACCATACATTTTGCACCAAGCCTTTTTTTATTATGTTTTTCATAATGCAATAATCAAAATTATACAAAATTTATGGTTTTAGAAAATTGATTTAATTTCCACGATATCGACATTCATATAATTTATTGAGATTAAAGATGCACAAGTGTATATAATCAAAATAACTCTTTGATTAAATAAGAAAATATCACTCAAAAACATTTTACATTTATATCTTAAATCCTAAAACTCGACTAAGATATTGTTATTAGACTACAATTAGGATTCATGGCCAATTGCCATATTTACGATTACTTGGTCTTCAAGTCCTTATCGACTTAGGATTCCAACAATCACCTTCGAATCTCTAAGTCCTTCTAGACAATTTTTCAACCTCGATCCGTATTTAAAATACAGGCTCGTCGTTGTCATCACATTCCGAAAATCACCTTCTTGTAATTTTTGGAGTCGTTCCGGACATTCAGAGGCAAAGTGACCTGGTTTGTCACACCGAAAACAAATTACCTTAGATCGGTCTTTTTTCTTATTTTTCCGATTTTTGTCACAACAATAATTACAATTTTTGCAATTGGTGGAATTGGGTTGATTTAAATCAGAATTGGACTTGTGGTGATTGGGCTTACCCCTTTGTGATACCCGATTACATGATTTAGGCCCACTTGACCTGTCAGACCCACTAAACCCTCCTGATCCACTAAATCCTCTTGTTCCATGATTACCATTCAACGCCCCTTTTCCCTTTGTCGATCTTTCCTTCGCTCCACCAGACAAGCCATCGCCACTGCTCGATGACCACAAAACCTTCGGTTCTTCTCCTCCTTCATCACCCTCTTCCCTAATCCTTTCTTCATAAGCTTTAAGCCTTCCCACAACATCTTCAAATCCAACCGATTTGAGATCCAAAACTTGTTCCAAAGAAGCAACCATGTGAATGAAATTTTTGGGAAAAACTTTCAGAAATTTCTTAACTAATTTGGATTCTTCGATCACTTCTCCTAATGCAGCCAATTTTGAGGCGATTCCCGATAATTTCCTGCTAAAAGCATCGATCGATTCAATCTCCTGCATCTTCAATCTATCGAAATCAGTCGTTAGGGTCTGGAGTCGGGCCGCCTTTACTCGATCAGCCCCAATGTGTCGAGCCTTGATTGCATCCCACAAGGTTTTTGAAGAATCGACTTCTCCAATCTGCATAATCAAACTTTCCGGCAAAGCTTGATAGAGCAGACCAAATGCAAGGCAGTCCTTCTCTTCGGTTATTGCGGTTCCTTGATCAATCATGCTCCAAGCTTTGTGAAATGCGGAGCACAACCTTCATCCTCATAGTGCACACCGTGTAATTGATGGGTGTGAGCATCAGACAGGTAACAGAGGTCGTTCCAGTCTCCTCCCTCCCCAGAGTATCGCCTGTAAATCCTTCTTCCCCCACCATGTCGACCTCCTTGTTCAATAAGTAAGAAATCTGATTTCACAGCCTCCTGTTCTTAGCTCTGATACCGATTAAAGATGCACAAGTGTATATAATCAAAATAACTCTTTGATTAAATAAGGAAATATAACTCAAAAACCTTTTACATTTCTTTTCTCTTAAATTCAAAAACTCGACTAAGACATTGTATTTATAGACTTCTAATAATCGACTTGCTATTAGACTACAATTAGGATTCATGGCCAACTTGCCATCTTTACGATTACTTGGTCTCGATGTCTTCATCGACTTAGGACACCGACATAGATTATATAGCACGACCGCTATAAAAAAACTTATAGGGATGATATTTTCAACTAAAATTGAAGAAAAACTTCGAGAATAATGAATATTTTTTTCAATACGTTGAAACCAAATAAGAATAGAAAAATCTATTTAGATTATGGGAAATCGTAGCGGCTAGGCCGCACCTTTTGCCATATAGGCAGCAGAACACCGCCCCCTATCAATTCTCTCCATCTTTTACCAAATTCATTTAAAAAAATTTACAAAATGTCTTCTTCCAAAAACCCAAACAACCAAAATACACCTGCTAGACTTACGATGGATCAACCGATTTATTCGTCCCCGTTTCATTATTATGGTGGTATGTTATCATATTTTCCATAACAATTTTCACAACCACAACGACTAACGCAATCACAAACAAAAAGAACACCAAAACCCGATGTGGATTTAATCCGCTTGAGTTTTTGTCTCAACCCGAGTTTGTTCAACAAACACAATCACAACCACAAACACCCATTTCTGATTTTGAACCAGAATTCGTTCAAGAAACTCAACCCACTCGAGCAACAACTAACAAAAGGCGTCAACTAAAAATTGGGAAGATGACGAATGTTTAGTATTGGCACAAGCATGGATCGATGTCTTTGAAAATTCAAAGACAGGCAAAGACCAAAAAGTCGATCGTTTTTTTGATGCAAGTTAGACATAGGTTCCACAAAGGAATGAACCTTCCCAAGTATCGTACAAAAGACCAAGTTTACTCGAAATGAGGGAATATTAACAAGGAAGTCATGTTGTTTAGTGATTTGTATAACAACATGAAACGACAATGGAGAAGCGGCGAAAGCGATGACGTGATTTTGCAAAAAGCTTTAAAAGTCTACCAAAAAGAAAACAAGAAGGCTTTCAAGTTTGTTGAAGTTTGGAATCTCGTCAATGACAATAAAAAATGGTAATTGAACAAAACATCTGACGAGCATATCGAGAGTGGTTCAAAATGGTCAAGAACATTCGAATCCGAGCACACTACATCCGATGGTCGTGTTGGTTTCGACCTCAATGAAGATGAACCGGTTCAAATTTCACCACCTTTCCGACCAACGAAATGGGACAAACAAAAAACAAAGGCAAAGACAAATCATCGGATTCAGATGATTTGAATGACATCGGGGACGATATGAAGTGTATAAAAGATAGACCGGACAAAATTTTGTAAATTGCTTCCAAAAGAGAGGTTCGGAAACAAAGGGAAATGACTTAAAAATACTAATGATGAACACATCGCGGCTCACCAAGAAGGACCTTGAAATTGCTTTGACAATGAAAGCCGATGTCAAAAAACGTTACGCTAAAGAAGATTTTTTTTAAATCGTTTGGTGTGTGTGTGTGTGTTTTTGTAGGTTTAGGATTTATAGCTTTTTTTCTAAGTTTTTAGGTTTTTTTTAATGTGATGTTATGTTGTTTTAGTTAATGAAATATTATGTTTTTAATTAAAGCTAAAGTTTTTATTAAAAAAAAAAACAAGTGTGACAACACTCCTTGAATGTGGTAAGAAACCATACTTTTGTTGTAAATGCTGAGGCGATGCCAAATGGCATTGTGATACCATGAGGAAGTATGACACCGCTTCCTCCAACCTATGCTACTTCCAGAGAGAGGCAAGTTCTAACTACTAACAACTATACTAACGGTCATGTACCTTTTTTTTATAAAAAGGGAAGTGATTCGTACACAACAATTTTTTGTCATACATAACAATTTATGCATTATAAAGTTGTACAATACAACATTTTAAAGCACCAATTGTTGTGTATGGAGAAAAATTGTTGTGTACAAATCATCTCCTATAAAAAGAATTCAAAATTTTGGCTTCCAACTGTTATTTCGGGTTTTTCCGGTTCCGAACCGGATTTTTATCCGAGAAAATATCCGGCTTAAGTGTCTTGCGCATTCGGATCATATCCGTCGGATAGTTTACGTTCGAATATTTGGATTGAATATGCATTTTATTTCGTAAGAATCCGCGAATCCGAATCCGTCCAATGAGTCATAAAGATATTTAAAGTCACACAATTGGGCTTATAATATAAAGTCCAGTCCAATGATTTGGGTTCTGTAAATTCACAAGTTGATCCGGCGAGTAGAAGATCTGACGACGCTGTTCACCGGCGACTCCAAGTTTCTTAATGCGATTTGATTGATTCATAAAGGAGTGTATTTTGTAATCTCTTGGATTCAGTCGAAGAAATATATTAAGTGGAAAATTTGTTCTCAAGATCGACACATACTTTGCATGTCGAATTCTTATCGGCCTTGTTCAGCTTGAAAATTGAAACCGAATATTAGAAAATTCATCGAAGTGTTGTTTAGATAGTGGAATTCTCTATAGATTTCAGAAAATGGAAAGGATAATGAGCAAGATGCGGAATTTGGATGCGTATCCTAAGATCAATGAGGATTTCTACAGCAGAACGATCTCCGGTGGTCTCATCACCCTTGTATCTTCCATCTTAATGCTTCTGCTTTTCTTCTCCGAAATGAGTGAGTTCTCTCTCTGCATATAGACACACATAGGGATGTCTATGCTCGTTGATCGATGTTGTATTAGTCTTTGATTCACATGAGAATATATGATTGATTCGATACCTAAAAAAAAGTTAGGTTTTCAAAGTTTATGACTGATTTTCGTACAATTTCTCTTTCCGATTGGAAAAAAGAGCACATTTGGGCTTTTCAATCGGGTTAACTTAAAACTGGTGTGAAGTTTGGACTCTAACAGAACAAAATTGTCAACATCATTGAGTTTTTTGTCATTTACTTCAAAAAAATGATACCATTACATTTTCAGCAAACTTCCTTTTCTGAATTCCACTTTGTTTCTCTAAACGATCTAATTGAAATGTATGCTGCTACTTCGTTGCAGGATTATATCTTAATTCTGTAACTGAAACTAAGCTAATCGTAGACACCTCAAGAGGAGAACGACTCCGAATCAATGTAGTAGCATTTTCTGTACAGTATACCTTCTCAATTATGGTTCTATAGTATTTCAACTTCTGGAATTAATTGTTATACCCTCTATTTCATCTGAAAGTGCAGTTTGATATCATATTTCCATCACTTCCATGTACAATACTCAGTATTGATGCTATGGATATCAGTGGAGAGGAACATCTTGACATTGTATGTAATCACATATCATTTCTTCTCTATTTTCATCAAATCAAAATACAAACATTATCATGTTGATTCTCGTTTCAGAAACATGATGTTTATAAAAAGCGACTTGATGCTTATGGTAATGTCATAGAGTCAAGACAAGATGGCATTGGAACTCCCAAGGTTAGTGACAAAATTTCATTCTTCTTCTTCTTCTTCTTCTTCTATGGTGAACTACAGTTTAAAAACTTGATTAAAAACAATATTTTTCTTACAAGTAACAGATTGAAAGGCCTTTGCAAAAACATGGTGGAAGACTTCAACACAATGAAACATATTGTGGTTCATGTTTTGGTGCTGAATCAGTATGCTTCCTAACTATGCAATGATTTGGTATTGATTTCTCTCAATGTTCCAAATTATAGAATTTTACTTTTTTTTTTCTTTTTTTCTTTTTTATTGTAGTCAGATAAGGAATGTTGCAACTCATGTGAAGATGTTCGTGAAGCATACAGAAAGAAAGGTTGGGCAATGTCAGATCCAGACATGATTGACCAGGTCAAATCTCTCTCTCTATCTCTATCTCTCTTCATCTCTCTCACTCTCTCTCTCTTCATCTCTCTCATTTACTTTTACTTCATCAGTGCAAAAGGGAAGGATTCCTACAAAGAATCAAAGATGAACAAGGTGAAGGGTGTAATGTATACGGATTCTTGGATGTAAATAAAGTTGCTGGAAATTTCCATTTTGCCCCTGGAAAAAGCTTTCAACAATCACATATGCACGTCCATGATCTAAAAGCGTTTCAAAGAGACAGTTTTAATGTAAAGATATAAATATAATCACAATTTATTATTATTATTATTATTACATTAAACTTTCATGTAATAATAATAATTAATAAACGACTCTTTTTAGCACAGATAAGTCACAGGATTATTCGTTTATCATATGGAGACTATTTTCCAGGTGTCGTGAATCCCCTTGATGGGTATGTTAATATTCTTTTCTCAATTCATATTTAATTTTTTTAATATTTCTTTTTATTCAATTATTTTGATTTTGTAGTGTGAAATGGACACAAATAACCCCAACTGGAATGTATCAGTATTTTCTCAAGGTAGTACCAACCCTTTACACAGATGATAGTGGACACAGTATTCAATCAAATCAGGTTTTAACAATTTATAATATATTTTTTTCTCTTTGAATTCCATTTTAGGCAATGTACTTTTATAATTAATTAACACAATTTTTTATTTTTTTATATTTTTATATAGTTTTCAGTAACTGAACATTTCAAGGGTGCAGAAGTTGGGCGTCTTCAGACTCTTCCTGGAGTTTTCTTTTTTTATGAACTTTCACCTATCAAGGTTTTTCTTCTTACTACATAAAAAAAAAAGATTTTTATTTTTGTATAAATTATATATAGAAAGTGTTTTTATTTATTTGTTTTGTAGGTTACTTTCACAGAGGAGTATGTTTCGTTTTTGCACTTTCTGACTAATGTTTGTGCGATTGTTGGAGGTAAAATTTCGTTTCTTTCTTTGGATATTATGAAAGATTTTTCTTAGGGTATGTTTTTATCTGATTTGTTTGAGGGCATTTAGGTATTTTCACTGTTTCGGGGATATTAGATGCGTTTATATATCATGGTCAAAAGGCTATTACAAAGAAGATGGAGATTGGAAAGTTTAATTGATGATGGAATTAACTCATAAAAATGGCATTTTTTGTGAAAGAGAAACAGATCCCCATGAAAGATTGTTTTAAAAAAAAAAATTAGTTCGATTCCGGTTTATTACAATCGCTTTATTTATTTATTTATTGAAGGTAATAAAGTCGATGTAAAAATCTCATGGGTATAACAAATTCAATGTCAGCGGCTACATTTTTTTTATTATTATGATAAGTATATGATTTTATAATATACATGCAATTGTAAGTTGGTAAATACTATTGATGTTATGGGCCTAGAGAGTGTGTTTTATATCCACGTTCCTTCCATGTGGATCATGGACCTTAAATACTTAAAATTATCATTTGGTCTAGAGTATGTTCCTCTATACTTGTATCTACTCATTCAACATTTTGTTCCTCTACTCTAAAGTACACAACACATACATTGTCTTAGTAGTGTCGATAATTTAATACCTTCACTTCGAATGTAGACTTCTAAGTGTCTAGCCTAACATTTAACTTCATCTTAGTATCAAGCATTGCACATTGTCATCGGCAAAAAAACATACACCACGACACTCATCCCCGAGTCTTACTAGATATCTCATCTAAGATAAACGCGGAGATATATAGGCTTAGAGTTGAATCCTGATAAAGCCTAATTTGTACACAAAACAACTTCGTGTCTCCAACTAGGTTTTCGACAGTGGTCATGGACCAAAAATACATGTCTTAAATGGTTTGCCATATTTCCTTGGGAACCATCTTGCTTCTATAGTCCTCCAAATTAAATTTTGGGTTATATTCTCATGTCTTCTCTATGTTGATCAACAGGATATGAAGATCTCTATTTTTTTCTCTATAATTCTCCTTAAGGTGTTTAAGTATGTGAATTGTCTTAGCCATTAACCTTCTTGGCATGAAATCAACTTGGTTTTCTGAAACAAATGTAATATAGTGCCACTTAGCTTCAAGAAATTTCTTCCAAATGTTCATGGTATGAGTAAATAACTTAATACATTTATAGTTGTCACATGTTTAAGCATCACCTTTGTTCTTAAAATTCGGAATCCAAATATTGGATCTCCACTTCTCATGCATTTTGGCGGTCTCTAATATAGTGTTAAAGAGGTTCGTTAGTCACCAACCTACCTCCTACTCAAGGCACTACCACGCACTATCAGGAATTTGGTCTTAGACCAAAAATGAATTGTATAAATAGTTGGGTTTAATCAGCTCAAATAAATGTTAATTCAAGCAGTTTTTGAGTTTAATCAGTTCAAATAAATGTTAATTCGGTAGAAAGTAGATTGCATCAAGACAAAATCGTTTAGGATATTAAGGTTGGATTAAGGTGTCTAAGGTCATAACTAAATTGGTAAAAAAACAAAGTCCTTTTAAGGTTGGCCTCATAGCTAGAAATAGTATAGAATGACATTTGGAGAAATAGAAAATAATTTGTTACTTTACTATGTAAATATTAAATTAATTTGAAATTGTAATAATTAATTAAGAATTAATCAGAATTGATTTGGAAATTAATTTTGGGTTAATTGGAATTAATTAAAGGTATAAGGGCTAAGCTGTAATTGTCCAATAGTTGAACAAGAGAAAGGAATCCAGAACCTTCCAGGGTTAGACGGGTTTGAAGGATCCGTTAGAGGTATTCAGGAAGCCTCCAATTGATATAAGGAAACTAGATATTCACTAATTTGAAATAATATTATTTTATGTTCAAATTTAGGGTTTTTAGGGTTTCCATGCAAGTATATATATATATATATATATATATATATATATATATATATATATATATATATAGGGATCAATCCTTGCAAATGTCATCCATTACTTGTTACATAGAGAATCTGAAAATCCTCTCCCTCCTCCTCTCTCCTCAATTGTTTACTAGTTTCAAAGTTTTGGGGTGTGAACCTTGAGAGACATCATACTTTTAGTGTTAAGCTTTCTGATGATCAGCAAGGGAATCAAGGATATTGTTTTTTATAACAATATCAAATGTATGTAACCCTAACTAGCAATTTTTTATTCTAGCATAGGGCTCAAATAGTTCCATAAGTATGTTGTTATTAATGTGTAAAGACATAGATAAATTAGGTTGTATGTACCCTTAAAAGTTCAAGTGAATTTTTTTGTATATACATTAAATTTGTAACCTATAAATCCTATCAATGGTATAAAAGCTTGGTCTTACAGTTAAAAGTACATAATAGATGAAACCTGGAAATACACACAAAAAAAAAAAAAAAAAAAAAAAACAAAACAAAGGTCGCGCCGTGTTTTTCGAGATTTTTGGTTTTCGGTGTTTGGCTTGCCTAATACGATTGTAGGATTTATTTTGGTCATTATCTTATATTTTACCTGTTAAAATCTGATTTCAATAATGTTTGGTAAAATTGAAACCCTAATCCTAGTTTTAAGGCATTAAATAAGGAAACCATATTTTAATTATAAGATAATTAAATACAATTATCCTTTATGGATTTCAATATCAAATTAATTAATGGTTAATCAAAAGATAATATTAAATTCATAATTGGATTAAGTGATTTAATTAATTTAATTAACTGATTAATTAAAGGATAATGATAAATGATAAAAGAGTTTAAAAGATTATTTAATAGTTAATGCATATAATCTAAACATTGAAATTTTAAAATGTTTAAAATAAACCCTATACATATAAGACCTTATTACTATATGTATCATTAAAAGTCGGTCAAATCTCTAGTACGTTTCATTCACGAAGTCATGCTATAAGAGATGTATAAGGAAACGGCCTATAAAGTGACCGTTAAATGTTTGTGCCCTTTTCACCCACCACTTCTTTGTCTGGTGGGGGTCGTTAGCCAAAAGGATTTGATAGGACATAAATAAGATTAAAAATATAATAAAAAGTAATAGAACCTTTTACAAAATCTCACTCTAGTTACTTTAGGAAAAATATGAAATGTATGCTAATCCTTGGAAACGTATATCATTTCTTTATTAGTCTTTAGTGGAGCGTGTGTGGTTAACCGACACATTAATTTGGGACTATGAGATAAAATGATGGAATACTCAAATTTATTATTGTTGATGGAGCGTGTGTGATTAACCGACACAATAATGTGAGACCATAAATGACCTCGAGTATGTCAAGCGGGTTTTCATGGTTATTCACATCTTATTTGTGATCATCGGTATCCCAGTTACAAATAGAAGAGCATAATCTGAGATTAAACATGTCATTGATAAGATTCAATGAATCTCAAAAGATCTAGAAATTTCATATTTGATTGAAATTGGTAATATGTCTTACCTACCTTAATATGTGCGCAATTAGATTACTACATCCCTCTTCTCGGTTCGAATTATATTTAGGATCCAACACTTGAATATTAATTTGGGCTAAAATACTAAGGATTAATCAACTAACTAAAACGTCTCTCTTATTAAAGATGTCTGGATTTAACAATGTTCCTGCTGCTTCACATCTTCTTCATGCCTTATCACCCCACCTTCCTGTTGAACAACCATCCTTTCTATGTATCCTTATGAGACTTGAAAGACACGATATCACCAAAGCCTTGATTAGTGGAAAGAACAAAGAAGGAATGTATGTGTGTTCCTATGTTGACAAAGTAAAGACTTACATTAACAGTCTGATCAAAATGGGTGGAGAGTTTCCTGGGGAATTTGCTATAGATATGATTCTAATCTCACTCCCAAAAAGTTACAAGAGCTTTGTAGAAAACCTCCACCTGAAGAATCATAGAGTCACACTCATGGAACTTTTGAGTTTGTTGGAAGCTGAAGAAGCCAAAATTATTGAATGGAATGTAACATACCAGAGTTGACTTTAGTTAACTGCCACGTTGTGGCCTTCACCCAGCCAAACATACGGGAAATTCACATTCGCCATGTCGTGGCGACCTATGGCCACGCCGTGGGCACTGGGTTTCCAACAACTTAATGGATTAAGCTGCTTTCTTCGATTCCAAGAGCTCTAAAGCTCAGATCTGGTCCATACTATGGTCTAAATGGATAACGTTTCCAACTTTATCCATTAAGACACCGAAAGAGATCGAAGATCTCTAACCCTAGGTCCAAACCCATAATGTCTTAACCAATAAGCCCTTAATCCAAAAAATTCCTTAACCTAACTACTCTAGAAGGTTTTCTAATACCAAATCTATCATAAAGGTGGAAGCTTTATAGACATGTATGTCTAATACATGTCTAAGATCCATCTTAGGTCAAAATCTGAACTCTAAAGGCCAAAACTTAGTCAAATGATAAGAACTTCCATCAAAGACTAGATCTATAACATATAATACTTGTGGGACTCAGGAGAGTCATCAAGTTGCCAACTTTATGAGTTCCTTCCTTCCAAATCTGCTCAAACATGAGGAACATGGGATAATATTCAATATCTAACCACCAAATAAAATAAAGCAAGGAACTTGGACACTTACAAAGGTCCATATATAATATGAGGTGATGATAATGTTGACTCCTTGCAAGCTCCACTAAAAGATCACCTTCTTCTCCCTCTTCTCTTATTCTTCAAGCCAAGAAAGCTCAAAAAAGACCAAGAATCAAGCAATTGATAAAGGCTAGGGTTTTTTTAGGTGAAAGGAGGTTTGGAGGCTGATAATGGACCCTAAAATGGGTTTAGAGGGGTTTAAATATGAAGGGAAACCTAAAAGTGTCATGGGCTTGTGCCTGATCACCTGCCATGCCATGTCCTTCCTTGGCCACGCCGTGGTGGTCTAAAAATACGCGGTTTACATAACCATTACCACGTCGTAGCATACTGGCACCACGTCGTGGCACATGGTCTCTTCCAAAATTTCATCTCCAACCCTTGATAATCACAAGATTAACCAATCTGGAACACAAATGTTACAACTATCCCCCACTTAAATTAGATTTCGTCCTCGAAATCATTCCTTACTACATTCCAGACACCCCAGACGATTCGATCAATTCCTCCAGAACCCTAATAAAAGTTGAGTCATACATATGTTGACCTTCAATATATAATTGAACCTAACCTTAACAGGACTCACATACTGACGACGAACGAATCCTTGCCCTGCGAACCCTAACCAATGAAGAATAACCCTCACTAATCAGCTCAAAATCCAAAAATCCAATACCTTGTCTAACTTCCCGACATACAAAACCATTCTTAATCAATACCAATACAACTCCACTTTGCAACCCAAACCGAACGAGATCCTT